GTCTGGGAAATACTGCCATAATTACTTGCAATAGCCATGTTTGGGTGCTTATTTTTAAATATGCAGACTAGTAATGCTCGACTTTTATGTCTGTGCTTGACTCCATTAATCCTAGACTCCAGCCAGAATGCATGCCGACTGCATGGCGACTTGTGTAGTCTCGGCTGAGCGTCAAGCATGGCACCAACAATCTCCTGAAAGCTGTAATTTTTTTTCCCCAGTAGATGTTAAGGCATAGAACTTCCAAATAAGCTGTGTATTAGTAACTGATGAGTTATGCAGTGATATGATTGCCTCCCTATTTGTGCCAGACTGCTCATTCTGTTGTGTAGCACCAAAATGTAGGGAATTGGCACCAATGTTGCTTTATAAGTTATTTCTCTTTAACCAATTACTCGGACCCCACTACAATGCCAGGTCATTATTACAGTAGGCTAGGGCACATCTTCCAACGTTTCAGTTATCAATTTGAATAACATATTTTTCGGTTCGACATATGCGTGGAACACCGCCAATACTTTCACTCTTCGCAGTGTTTCTCATTGTTCAAGGTTTTTGGGTGGGTGGGTAGTTTAGCTCCATTGAGTGGCGCGGCGCTTCTTACCGGGCAGTAGGGCATTGTGGAGAAGCGACACCCGTAAAGGGAACACTACAGTTGTGCATGTATCGTTTCGCCACAGTGCAGCCATGCTTAAAGGGGTTATGACACGCCAAAAATAAAATATTACATAACTATTCAGCTAGGACCCATTGTATGTTCCTATAATCCTGCTAAATTTGTTTTGAAAAATACGCGAAAATTTCGTGGATAAATCGATTTATATGCGGGCCCCTCGGAGGGACAGATCCAGGCGGACCTGGAGGCTGATGACGTAGCCAGCCTCCAGCGTGGTTTCTACTTGCACGCACTCACAGACTCGGCTCTTCTTGGCATATCAACTCTCAGCTTCCTCGTTCACCTTCCACGTTTCCAGCATCCGGTCTGTGACGATTACGTCTACGGCATCGATCGCCTTGTCGAAGTGTTCGACATTGATCGCAGCAGCGATGAGAGTGATTGCTATCAAGAGATGTTGGAAGCTGTTCCTTTTGACTGCGACCCGCTGGCGACGAGCTCCAGCGACGACGAGTTCGCCGTGGTCACCGTCGTCCGGGAATATCTCGCAGGCGCATGCAGGGTGGAAGGTCAACCGGCCGGGGGGCGAGAGCGAGAATAGCTTTCAGTTTACCGAGCTGTTTGAGCGGTTTTGTCCGTACCGCGACGAAAAGAGCTTGGGCGATCATGGGGGCGCCTAGAATGAGAGAGTGTTCATAGTCACGTGGTTTATGGACACCATGGTGTGACTAACTTGAGCAGTGTTGCCTGGTCGCCAGATGAAAATTATAAAAATTCGTAAATTGAATATTGCAATCATCAGAGCTCTAAAAATTGCGTAACTTGGTATATATACTAAGTAGCCTATGAGCATTCCATTTCAAGAATAATCTATCCGTTTAATTTTCGTGTCATAACCCCTTTAAGGAAAAGGCGCTCCTTCCAAGTTACTTTGATATGACATATGTTAAAAATAAAATAAAAAGAAAATTAAGATTGTTGTGGTCAGGAGGATGGATTTGATTTGAAGTTCTGGAAGCAGCTCAGATCGGATCGAAAATGCCAGATTAACACTCCATCCAAATATCAGGCAGAAAGGTACTACATCACCTGCAAAAACAAGCAAGTAAAAGGAAACGTCCGACCAGGTCGAACCTGACATTTGTTCATGCCCAGTTTAAGATATGACAATTTTCGTTCTGGTTTTGTTCTGATATTTTTGTACAGGATGCCTCCTTTCTTTGCACACAGACTGTGCATCAATTCTCAGCTCTGGTTTCTGTGTTTGGCAGTGTTTTCTGCTTAGCAGATCTAAAATCCGTTTTAAGAAAGATGAAGTGGAAAATGACATGTAGTAGCTTTTTGTGAGCGACATAAAGGGCAATGTCACATAGGGGCTGCAGGAGGTACTACCACAGTACTGCAAAATCCAGATGTGCAGTGAAGTGAGGAAAATGCGAGAGATGGGCCGATGTCTCGTCACAACACTTCTGGGCTCTAATTTTTTTATATATATTTCGAAGCTGAAGTTTTTATTAAAGGTGTATATTAGTGCCGAAAAAAGGGTAATAACGCAGGCTAGCTGGCCCGACACAAGAGAAAAAAAGAAAAGAAAAAGAAAAAAAGGCAATAGATTGTCGTCTCAAAACACAGCTGCAAGATTTGTTTACAGGACATCATCAATATTAGTGGTTGGTTTTTTTCTAATGAAACGTCAAGGCATAGCTGTACGAAAATCAGAACATACTTCGGGAAAACATGAATGCCATATTGCCGCGTGCATGGCCGAGAGGGAACACACGTGACTCTCACTCAGGTGTCCGGGGTTTGAAGCCTGGCGCCGGACATTACTCTTATTAATTCCTTCTTCTCTATACTTCTAGATTGGTGTTTACCCTTACCCCGAGTGATTGATGCTCAAACATTCCAAGTCGAATGTTCGAGATACCGAGGGTGATGGATAAGGATGCCAGCATGGCCTTGCCGACTCTCGCGCCAACCAGCTGTCACGCCTTGGCGCTTCTGCTTTCTCGATGCCCATTCTTTCTTTTGTTTCTGGCACAAGTTCGCCCATCAAACCTTTTTCTTTTTTAATTTTTATTCTCGTTGATCCTTTTTCATCCGTGACAATATGCTGGCACGGACAGCCGTGTTGAGCCGATGGTCAGGTTGGGGGCTCCAATACCTTTCTCTACGGTAATGTCGAGGATAGACTTGAGGACCCAACTTGCTTGGCCAATAGTGTTTCGGTTAGGATACTTGATTGCAATGTTTGAAATGTTTTTGATTATGGTAATTGATGACATTTGGGTCAGAAGAATTGAAGATCGATTTCACTGGACTTCCTGCTTTTTTGAGGGCCATCATTTTCGTTTCAGAAGTCTTATGCACAAATGACTGTACTGGGCTGTAACATAGCTTAACATAGCTTAAAATAACTTTGAGTTTCTGTGAAGTTTTGAAGTGTTTGATTATATGCCATTTTGAGTACTATAATTTCCGGTGTATAAAGTACCGTTTTCTTTTTCTGAAATTTTTGTGGGTGAGTCTGGTACAACGGTGCAACTTATACCCATTTATAAGTATGGACGTCAACTATGGGACATGTAGGCAGAATTGAGATTTACGACCAAGGAGGGACGGCAGAGCCTCCGCCCCGCCGGTGTCCTCTTTTTCTAGCGGACAAAGACTAGTCAAGATCTGTGAGACATACCCTGCAGGTGCCGCTGATCAACTTTTCCTCATAACCCGTGCTTGTCAATATGGCTGCTTTCTAAAAAAACAACTTGCTCATAGAAAAAAAAAAAAGTTGTTGGGGTTCTATTTTTGTTTAATTTGTTGGCGGGAATATTGAAACTAGCTCCTGCTGCGCAAATATCATGATCACTGTACACATACAAAGGCTTATCAACACAGGTTTGCTGCATCGACTGTATGAAGGACTTATGCAGAGGTGTAACGCGTATGCCAGGGATGGGCAGTATTTTAAATACAAGTATTCGAAATACGTATTTCAAATACTTTGTGTATTTTGCATTTGTATTTAATTACAAATTCGGTAATGTATTTTACGTATGTATTTAAATACTAAATCGTGGGTATTTCAAATAATTGTAATTAAATACAATTTTGTGGGCAAAAATACCTCCCTCAAATTTATTGTCACTGTCTAGAGCAGGACGAAAACTACGTTCTGCACCGAATGCAGTGTCTCTCAATCGAGCACAAGCGTTTAGTGACTGTGATTACGGTGCTAGTCCAGGGCAAGAATAGTGACGAAATCGACGTTCACAGGCAGACTGGCTAAATAAGTGCCTGTGGCAACTTGTGATGCTTTCCAGCCTGATTTTCATCCATATTTTTGCCTGGAACATTCTAAATATGCGGGTCGTCCAGATTTTCGTAACTGGCACAAGTTGGAACAATAAATTCTCTAGCTAGCGCTGCGCGTCTTGGTCGTCTCGGTTCTTTGTTGATCTAATGCCAAAATGTAATCTACAAAAAAAGCTGCTTGAAGCTCTGTACTTTTTTCACCTATTACGTCCAAGCTGATTACATTTTTTTGCGATTATATTGCTATTACGTTACTAGAGCCTCGCACACTAAATCCCGAGTGTGCGATGCAAAATTAATACGAGATACCCAGAAACCCGTTGCAGGTGCCCTGAAGTCGCTGATGCAAATTTTGAGGAATGTATTTGGAAAAGTATTTGGAGGGGACCAAATACATTTGGTTGTATTTGTATCTTGTATTTAAATGCTTTTTTGGAAATGTCGTTAGATTTGTAATTAAATACATTTTTGACGAAGTATTTTGTATTTGTATTTCGATACATATTTGCATGTATTTTGCCCATCCCTGGCGTATGCCAACGTTTTTTTGTGAAAATGGCTGTTTATAGGAGGTGTGACTTTAGACCGGGTAATATGGTAAACCATACAATTGCATTCCAATACATAAATTTTCTGCTGTTTGAAAGATTTGTCAACTTTGATCCCGCCGGAACTTTGAGCCTGCCGGAACTGAGCCTGCCGAAACTTTGAGCTCACCTACCAGAACTTTGAGCCCATTAAGGAACACCAGGGAATGGTGCTCCCTAAAGTCCTCTTATAAAAATCACGCTTGGCACTTCTTACAAGTACCACCAACCATTGTTGTGCAAACGCTCAAAATACGTGCTACGAGCGAGTGTTGCACCGCCATTTGCTTCCAAAGGCCGCTCATTTCAGTGCTGTGCCACCATCCGCTTCCAAGGACCGCATGGAGCACGTGCCTCGTGCATTGGTGCATTTGACGCTGCTTGTACAACAGATGCAAACACGTCAAAGTGCTTTAGTGCTCCCTGGTGCGCACACTCATGGTGCACATCTCTGGTCGTGACAGGAGCGCTTCCCCCCATTGCAGGTGCCTGCAGGGCGGCCCAGGAGTGCTGCTGCCTCCTGAGGGCTACTCATTGGAGTCCCACCCTCATCACCCCCACCACCACCGCCGCCAGCACCATCCCCACCACCCGCCCTTGGCGCTGGGGCAGCCGCTCTGCCATGGGCTGCCCCCCCGCTGCCCGTCTGCCTGCGTGCACGAGGCCCCCCTGGTCAAGGCCCTGAGGCGCCCACTCGCCCCCAGCGCCCTCTGGAGGCACCGCAGGAGGGCCAACATGGGGCAGAAGGTCACCACGGGCCTCAAGGTCAGTCCATGCCACGCCGTCCTCGACCCCAGGTTGTCCAGGATTGTCAGTCTGGGGTGTTAAAAATTTCTAGGAGGGGCTCAAAGGCGTCTGGGGGGTGGGGGTTAAAAGATTCTGCAAACCTTTGTGGGACCTCGAGGTTCGACCAGTTTGGTGACCCTTCAAACTTTTGTAAAAAATTGACGAAGCTCTACTCCTAAAGGGGGGGGTGCAACGATTTCCGGACTTTGGTCAAAGATTTCTGGAAGTTGCCCTCTGACACTTCTGAAGTAAAGAACAGAAAACCGATTTCACCTGCGTGTCTTAGTTGTTGCGTAAAAAAAAGATAAATATTTGCATTTTGGGCACCCCTCAACTCACTCCCAGCCTTCAGGGTCACACCTGGTCCCTCTCCTAGTGACGTCATTCGAAGTGCAGTGTAGGTTCCCGTGTGCTATCTCGGAGGATGCTTCCTCTCCCTCTCTCTGCTGACATTAGCGGGCGTTATGCTGCAGCTTAGAGTTGAGCGAGGTCACGTAATCTTTTTGCCGTAGTTCCTTCGGCTGCCACTTCGGGCTGCAGGTGGGGGGAAAAGCTAGACTTTTGCTTTGCGATTGTGCAGCGGAATCGCAACATTTTTAATGAAGGAGGTGTTTTCTCTCTCCTCCGGGACACGATAAACAACGTAAAAATGACGAGATGCAAATTCTTTTAATCATAAAATTGTTGCACCGCCCCTTTAACAGTGTTGCCCAACTCCTACACAAAAGGTTTAATCTTTTATAAAATATGATTTATGCAGTAGATTGTTTTAAATTTTAAATATTATAAAAGCAAACATGAACTTTTTGTGATATCATTAGTTTGTTAATGGGAAGCAATGTACCCAAAACATATTGCACCCCCTCCCTTGCCAGGTGGCATCAGCTTATTTTCAAAAATCTGCGCATGCACATAATTGTTAAACATGAGTCAAACTTTTGTCAAATTTTACGATAGAAGTTTGGAAAGCTCGAACCTGGTTGAACTTGAACCTCGGAATGTTTGTGACTTCCCGAATTTGTGTGGGCTACCGTAAAATATTGAGCAAGTGCCCACTCAAAATTTGAGGATAATTGTGAAAAAATAGGGGATGGGCGTATTTGAGGTCATCAGTTTTACTTACAGATGTACTGTGCATATTTTTTAAGATGTTTCAGATTTTAAGGGGTGGGTGGTGGTTGCGGAATGGGTGGATGCATGGTATTCTACGGTATGTCGGTTACCTGGGAGAAAAGGGAACTTCGTTTTTCGGCTCGTGCAAATAAATGATGAATCACAAAAGGCTGCAACCCCGAGAGGTAGTGACTCTAGAAGTGGTGATAGAACACGAGAGTTTGAAAACACTGTGTTACGTGGGTTAAGGCAAAAGAGAGGCAGACTTTTTCTATGAGCTGTTGTCCACCGAAACCTAATGCTTTCAAAACAAGAAATGACATTGCGGACAGATGTGGTATTTATCTCAATGGAAGACACTTGGGGTAGCAAGAAAGAAAACGTTGCACTCTTCCTTTTTGGAAAGATTTTTTCACTGAACTAATTTTTATGGGCACCCTCAATGGCCTTTCTTGTTTTCGCGATATTAAGCTTAGGCGGATGTCGGCTCTGAGAGAAATTTTTTGTCTTTCTCCCTTACTTTTTGATCCAGGTAATGCCATTTCTCAAAATTTCACATTTTGTTACCTACGCTTGTGTCACGGCGTTTTCGGTTTTCTGTGATGCATGGTTCATTTACGCAAGCCAAAAACATTTTTTTTTTCTTTTAACTATTTCTTAACTTTGCACGATTGAGGGCATGCGAAACAAGAAGGGCCAGGCCAGCGTCAAACGGAGTGATTCTCTCCCGGTGTGCAGGTGGACCACCCGATGGAGGAGGTGGGCTCTGGGCTCCCGTCGGGGCTCTCCGGCGGGGTGTCGGGGGCTGGCGGGGTGCGGGGTGGGGCCTGGGCCTCGTCGGGCGGGGCCCGTGAACCGGAGCGTCCCCTGCGGCTGGACCTGCTGCTGGACATGCCGCCGGCATGTGGGGACCTGCAGGGCCGGCACGCCTGGAACCCCGAGGACCGCTCCCTCAACATCTTCGTCAAGGACGACGACCGCCTCACCTTCCACCGGCACCCTGTGGCCCAGAGCACCGACTGCATACGCGGAAAGGTGGGACAGGCACGGCCAACACCTCCCGGATGACGGGGCCTTAGTGTCAAATTCTTTTATGTTGCTTTCCAGAGGCCACTGTAGAGCAGATATTTTCTGTGTTCTTCTGGGACTTGTGTTTGACGCTGAGCGAATGGAGGTCCCAGATAAACAGTGAGAAGCAGTCATGTCCGTCCTTTACCTCGCTATCGATCGAGGTGGGTGACGTGGATTACCTGGTGCACATACATGCATTGCTATCTGGCTGGTGTAGGTTAAGCTTGATATCCACCCTGAAAGGAAGAAATCATAGTCCTTTCTTCCCGTTTAACACTGTGAGGATGTAAGAAACACGCCCCAGTGTAATTTTATATAGGCGGTGAGGACGGTACACACATACTTTCGGGAAAGCTAATCTTGTAACTATTTGAGAAGTGAAATGCCATCTTGCGATATATATGTACACTGTGCAACGCAGCTAATGTTTTCCATCTGCGCTTTCATGCATTTTGCTAGAACAGGTTAACATTGAACACTGGAGGTCATTGCCCTATATCAAAACATTTCAGTACACTAGTAATTTTAGTTGCAGCCTTCCAGCTCTAATAGAATGATAGAAAGAAAAAAATGGTGATCTGCTGTTTATGGCTAGCTGTCATGCTCCATACGTGAGGTAAATGGGCAGTCAGCATTTTCTCTTACCTTACTTTGGAAAAGATGACTGCAAAGAATGCCACATGGTGAAATTTGAAATTGGAAAGCCAGATTCAAAATTAAGTTTAGTTTTGGCAATGATATCCAACTTTGAGATTTTTTAAAAATATTGCTAGGAATCGTTTTTGGAGACTAATGGTTTCACAACACTCGCATTACAGTCAGTAATCCAGTACCCTACTCCTCACGATATTGGAGCTACTTTGGTTAGCATGGTATAGTGTATTCTCACTATATAGTTTTCTCCGAGGAGTGAATTGAACGTCATTGAGTTCTGAGGTTATGTGCACCATGTCACAAACATTCGCTAATCCCCCGAGCTTGTGGGTAGCTGCGGAGAATCTGCAACCAGCTCACAAAATATCCGTTGTCCTGTTAAAAGGATTGGCCCCCCCCCCCCCCCCCCCCCCCCCCCTTTTCAGGGAGGGGTTATGGTCATCAACATTAAACTGGGATGTTTTTTTTTTCTGCTTTTTGTTTAATAAGTTTGTGAAGATCACAAGCACATTCACAAAAAGAAAGACTGTGCTGACTTAACTACAAGCAACTGCCCTGCAAGGGGTTGCTCGGATTTTCTGAACTCTCTCCTCATTCTCGCGTTTTTTTCGCCCTCGCAACCGTGTGACATTCAGCTTCCTCCACAGAGAAAGGTCTGTCGCGTGAGTACTCCATTCATGCAGTGATGTGATTGCTGCTCCATTTGTGCCGAACTGCGCCAAAGTGCTTATCCTGCTACATCTTGCTACATTTTACCAAAATGTGACGAATTTGTGTCAACATTGATCTAAAACTTAATAATACTGATAATATTATAGCTCAGGCCTTGCAACCTGTCTGGGTCATTATAATAGGGTTGTGCGAGTTCTCTGAGCTTTCGAATATTGCCTCAAACAATGTACTATTCAATCTGATTTCGTATCAAAGACTGACAGAACTGTGAAGTTCCGCAATAATTATCATGTTCGTGTTCTGTTTTGGCGGGCTAGTTCTATTGTGTGCGCTTCTCATTGCACACTGGTGTACTGCAATGGAGCGGCAACCGCAGAGTAGGTGTTTCCGAATTTGCATGACTTGCTTTGCTGCAATTCACCTGCGTTCTGAGGGGAAAGTGCTCCTCCAGAGCGAGACGTGACACGATTTCCGAATAAAAGTTTGACTTGAATATATGATAGACTGCGATATCTTGGTGGTATCTTTTTACAATTCGAGATTTGGCTGGAATACTTTGGTATTGCCAGAAGATTTATACGGATTGTTCTGTAGGTTTATGTTTTATGCCAACTCTTTTGTTTACTTACCACTTTTATATACCGTAAAACACAGTGGAAGCGCCCACTTCGTTCAATCGCCCACTAGTATTGCATTTCACAAACTTGGAAATTCTGCAAATCATACGTTAAGCACCTGATTTGACCGGACAAGTGCCCATGTCTAGATTAGCCCAGTTTTCAGTGAGTGGGTTGGGTGCTCCCCCGGTATTTTACGGTAGGTGTGAGTAAAATATAACTACATTAGCAGGTGCAGTGCATGACTAGAAGAAGCTTGAGAAGAACCTTAATGAGTTTGCCAGGATTGTTTTTAAGAAGGCATATTAATCGTTCACATGCCAATTCTTGTTGCAAAGTTTTACATATAAATTGTTTTTGATGTTCCATAATCAAATGACAAAAGCTTTCTTGTTTTTAAATCTAAATTGAGAAGTGCAGTTTCATTATGTCCTCTAGAACCTGAAGGAAACTTAAATTTAGGGGCTCAAAATGATTGTATTCTAACATTCCTTCAGTGGGATTCCATACCTAAATAACCATTCACTGCAGTTCATGCTGTCTTTTATCAATCATCTTCTCGTAAATGTGTCTGGTGCTTTTACTCGCAACTAAACTGCTTGTTTTTTGTTTGGGGTAATCGCTCCTGCTGTGCAATTGATGCTAACAAAAATTGGACATGGTGAGAAAACAAAGTATACATTGCCTTCTAGTTGGACAGGCCAACGTATGAATCTTGATGTAATATTTGTAGTGGTGCGAATAAAAATGGAGTGTGCGCTCATGCTCCAAAAGTTCTTTTTGCTGCTTCAAAATTAACCTTTAGCTGCTTTAAGAGCTGCTCCGAAACGACGGGTTAATCGCATCACTGCTCACGTTGCACATTTCACTAAGCGTCATTGTGGGTGGTGCTTGCGGCACTCTTTTTTGTGTCTTGTAGTTGGACAGGCCTAGATATGATCCTTAACATAGTATTTGGAGTGGTATGAATGAAAATAAAATGTGTGCTTATGTTTTAAAAGTTCTTTTTACATCTTTAGAATGACCTTTTGGCTGCTCTGCAATGGTGGGGGGAGCTCAAAAGACTCTATTTACAGGGTCTAAATTTGGCCAAAGTGTGACGGTGGTCTCTCCCCAGGTGGGCTACACCCGGGGCCTGCACGTCTGGGAGGTGCGGTGGAGCACGCGGCAGCGGGGCACTCACGCGGTGGTCGGGGTGGCCACCCGGGAGGCGCCCCTGCACTCTGTGGGCTACCAGTCCCTGGTGGGCAGCAACCGGGAGTCCTGGGGCTGGGACCTGGGACGCAACAAGCTCTACCACGACAACAAGAACAACCCCGCCGTCACCTACCCCAGCCACTGGTACTTCCCTTCTCCCCTTCCCTCTCTGACGATGCTTGGCTTCCTAGATAAGAAAGCCTGAGTGCCAGAATTTCCGGCATCACTAACCAAGGCCACCGTATGCCACAGATTGAGACTAGCGCTGCGTAGGTGTTTGGTTGGAACTCGTGTCCAGTCGGTAAGAACACGACTCCTAGCCGAACGCCAAAGCGAAAGGTGGCCTTCTTTAGTAGTGATGCAGGAAAATTCACCACTTGGGCTTTTTTATCTAGAGGATGTACTTAGGCTTTCTTATCTACGGGGTGTTGGCTTGGCGTGCAATGAGTACGGGTCTTCGGAAAGGTTTGCTCTGCTTAAATATTACACAGTCCAGCCTAGTTATGATGAGTGGAAGTCAAAAGTCAGCTTTGCTAATCTATAATACCTAAACCAGGGGGGTTCTTAAACCCGGCGACATTGAGGAGCCGGACTGTTAAGGCCCGTTCACACTCTTGCGACCTCTTAAACCTGGGTTCCTTAAAACTTCTTAAACCAGAGAACACACTGGCGCCATCTATTGGGAAGCAGTGTAAACTCGGCGGTCCGGCATATTTTTTTTTATTTCTCGCGCATTATCCTTTCTTTTTTGGCTCGAAAAACTTTTATCAATGGTATAAACGAGTCTTTCTATGGGTATTACGCACATTTGATCTCGGAAATCCCGCAAAACCTTCGCTCTTGTGAAATGCAGTTCCAGGGTCACCGCATAGATGGCGCCACAATGCCAGTGTGTTCCCTCATTCTACAAACATTTAAGAAGTTTTAAGAGATCTCGTCTCTCTCAGTCGTACTCGGTCGCAAGAGTGTGAACGGGCCTTTAGGTGGGGGGGACCTTTCTCGGTCCTAGCCAGCATCGAAGCAATAAAGCTGGGATAGGGAAGCCTAGAGACCATGTAAACAATAATGCATATACTAAAGAGTGCTTTGTACGCTACATAGTCACATACCCGTGGGTTGCTCACATCCGCTAAAGCAATGCTTAATCTGGAAAAACACTTAGTGCAGTCGAGAAAATTTGGAAACTCGTAGAGCCTCTCTGGGAACTCTCCTAGAAATCAAGTTTGAAAATCCTTAAATGAAGCGATTCTAAATTGTTGTCTTTTTAGGCCACCATGAAATTTGTCTTTGCTATATACATTTTAGCTGTTTTATTTACATTGTTAATACTGGACCCAAATTTTATTGAAAATGTATAAATGAAAATGGGAAATCAAATAAAAAATTTTTTTTTGTTAGGGCTGTTTTTTTTTTTTTTTTTTTTATGAGGGGGCTCATTATTATGGGGCTAGACTGTACAAGGCATTGAAACTGAGTACAAGCTCTTGCCAAGACCTTGATGACCTTACGAAATCTTAACTGTTTATTGCGAATATATATATATTCCTTCGAACGGTGTGTCAATTTTATGGCAGTTCTTACCATCACTAGGTCACGTGAATGAGAACAAATAATGCCTCCTAGAAAAGGCAACAATCAAATTTGTCCAATAAAAGGTCTTTCATTGTTTTCTTGACGCCACTGAACATGGAGCCGAAATCTTCAGTAAACTATCGGCTGCTCCATCTACGTCTATCACTGTCTTTGTCTGCATGCATGTCCACTTTGCTCGCCTCACGTTTTTACATGAGTACACATGACAGTGCTTCAGTTAAGCAGCCCAAAAAGAAAAGGAAGTACTGCAGCATTCTTTGATGCAAAGTTCTGAACCTTTCTGATCAAACAAGAAATAAAAAGATCTACAGAAAAACAGATTTTGAAGAAAGCAATACTCGGAAGATGGCCGAGTTTTTATTGTACAAAGTGAGGCAGTATAGCACCATGAGGGATGCACACCAATAAAAAAGTGAAAAACTGCAGAGATGAGGCCCAGCGTGCACTCTGTTGGATGTGATTACCTTTTCCATTGCACATTAGGGATTGCAGTACAACATCTGCCCAGATGTAATTGGAAGGAAGAGAAACAATTTCAGAAACATTTGTTTGGCTGTGTGTTGGGACACAGCCGAGTACCTTGAGCTGCAATGCTTTATAGCTACCCTAAAGGGGCTGTAGGCCTCTTCTTTTTAGGGCGCTGGCTGGACCAGGGCCTGCTGTGAGAATTTATAGAATTGACGCATTATGAGAACGCAAAACCCAGACAGAATATTCATGCACTTCCTGTCTTCTGCTTTGAGAATTGTCTGGTGCCCAATTTACGTGCACCGGTTACGAGAACAACCTCGAACGACTCCTTTTTCTTCTTGCAGCCCGACTGTCGTAGATTAATGATTGTCTTGGGTAACACATCGACTGCGGAAGAAGGGTGCCCGACGCTAATCCTTTCGCATTCATAGATGTACTTTTGATAGCACTGTTCATGCAGAAGCGGGGCATGCGTGCAAATAATTCGTGGAGTTCTAGGATCTGCGAGACGTGTGAAGGCCGCTTTACGCATTTGCGTTTGACTACGATGGACTGCATTACGACCATGTGTGACGGGTTACGACAAGAGTACACGCTGGCGTTGTCTATCAGATGGCCCTTGAATCATTATAATACGCATATAACTAAAGGTTTTGGGGTATTTGCGAGATTGAATCCACGCACTATCTAAAGCGGTCTCTTATAACCAGTGCATTGTCTCTTAAAGGGACCATGAAATGACCTTATTACTTTTTCCAGATAACTTTTACATTAAATCGTCAATGTTCACTGAATGCCGAACAGGCATCCGTTTTCGTCTTGGTTTATTAACTTCTACACAAAGAATTAATGAAATATCGACTCTTCTTTCTCTCCAACTGACTGCAAAATAAGCCGTGACGTACGCTGTTTCCGGAACCGGAAGTTCTCTCGGCAGTAGGATAATGGGAGCGTTAGCGGCGACGAGTTGGGGCAGTTGGGGTGCGCCGGTAGGTTTCACTGCGCTGATGTCACCGACATATTTTCTGAATCGGCGCCTCTCATCGCCGCATCGCAGCTGAGCGAAATTCAATGAGATATGTTGCGCTACAGCGACAGCATGGGACTAGTCCCATACGCCGGTATGCCTCTTGAGAAGTGCAGCGAGTCTTCCGGTGAAGACTCCAGAAGTCAACCCAACTCTCATTGTTGGTAAAAGGCGGCCCGTGTCAGCCGTTTGCAAAGTGACATAGATGGAAACAAGTTGCCGCGGCGTTTTTAGCGGCCTCGGAGATGCAGGAGCGAGCCGACGTTAAAAAAGAAACGTTTGAACTACGAGTGTCAGCAAGAGCCACGTAAATACCTGTTCACACTCGGAGCGGATGGAAGTGCTGTATTCGCGCTGTTGGTAAGCGCTTCGGGACCGTTCTTTTACGATTGCAACTCGATACTGACGCGACATTTGGCAAAGAAAGGTTGGACCGGCATTGCACGTATACCTCCCACGAACTGTTATAGCTCGACAGTGACGTGCAGTTTGTCAGAATAAAAATGGCATACCAATAACAAAGTGTGCATACCGTGTTACGAAGGTAATCCATACGGCGTTTATTTCAGCTCTATATCACACAAAACAAGAAGATAGAATCGATGAGAGTCCCTTTTCGACGAGTGTTCGTCAACACTGCCTCGGAAAACAAGGGGAAGAGATTGACCTCACCTCTTAATCTAAAATTGAGGTCAGCGATCAAACTATAATACGGGAAGGATCCAAAAGGGTCGCGCGGGCATATTCCGTTCAGCACGCCAGCCGGTCGTAGGCAGACGGTCTTGCGACGAAGCAACGCTGCGCCGAGTCGGAGTGCCTGCTAGGCCTATATTCTGAGCAGCTCGCTTCGTCGGAGTCGGGTGTTTGTGGATCCAGCGTTCTTGTTCGTCGTGGTCTGTTTTAAGTACTTTTTTTCTTGCTGCTTGAAGTCGGCACGCGCGAGAAGAACACGTAGAGAAATAAACGTTTAGTCAGTCAGAGTTTTGAGAGGAAGGAAATCAAAGGAAATAAACGTTCGCCGGTCTGAAGTCGGCCCTGCCCTACTGCGCACGTGCAGTAGTTGCTTCGTTTACCACACGATAGATGGCGCTTGGCTCTCAGCCTTATCAAATTTGGCAATTTTCGCCACACATCTCTAATTATGCTACAAAATGTGGATCTGAATATTATTTAACAAAACCTTTAGGAAACATTCGCCGGCTATTTATTGTTTACGATCGCGGTGCTGGTGAGGTAGGCTCTTACCCAATAGGCGACGTGGATTCGGCTGACGCGCTCCGTTTCCGCGGATGCATCGTAGTGAAAAGGCGAAGGAAAGAAGGCGCAAAAGAGTCCAGTTTTCTTTTAAAAGTTCTTTGGCAAATAATTTTTTTTGGCTCCCTATTTTTGTGTTTTTGTGTTTCTTTTCACACCTTTTACGACGTGCGGCGGATGAAATTCGATTTTAAAATCATTTCATGGTCCCTTTAAGGGGGGATGCTACCCAGAAAAAACAATTTCTGCTATAAAAGTTGATTTTGAAAAAATGCCATATTTACATCCACCAACATCTAGAGAGTAATAGGAAAACTATTGTTTTCCTGTTATACAATAAAGAATTATTCTTCGGTGGTTTTCTGGGATATAATTTTGTGAACAACATGCCTGGCTAGTTAGTTTTTCTACTTTAATATTCTTTTATGCTAAAAAAATATTTGTGAAAAAGGGCAGACGTGAAAAAAAAGGTTTAATCTTCTTATGGGGTTATATTTGTGAAAACCAATGCATATAGCGAAACAGCTAGCTGGGTATGTGCTATGGGTATTCCTATGACTATATTACACATAAATATAGCATATTTTCATTTTATTTTAAAAGGATAGTTTTCCTAAATGAACACACTGACTTCCATATTGTAACATTCTTAACAAGTTTCAAAACTTACATAGCACAATGCAATTTGGCAGGGATGGTTTGCCAATGCAATTCGATTGAAATCGAGCAAGCAATATAGAAGTTGACTTTTCCCGTCATAATGTCGCGGTCCGTTTTCTCGTCGCGAGTCACGGTCAAACGAAACTGCGTGAACCGGGACAAGTCAGCCATTCAGAGACGAAGCTAGTAACCTTTTTGGCGCATCTCTACGTCTGTAGGAATCGTGTAAGGACGCGGAGAGAGGTACGAGTATAACTCGACCACCAATCCCTTCTGTCCCGGAACGCAGTTGCCGTCCGTCGGAAGAGGTGTTCCTGGTGCCGGACGCATTCCTGGTGGTGCTGGACATGGACGAGGGCACCCTGGCCTTCGTGGTGGAGGGCCGTTACCTTGGGGTGGCCTTCAGGGGCCTGAGGGGCAAGAAACTCTACCCCGTGGTCAGCGCAGTCTGGGGCCACTGCGAGATCACCATGAAGTACATTGGCGGACTGGACCGTGAGTTTGGGGGGGAGGGGACGCCGGTTTTTTCGCGCTGTGGGCGTCGCGCCCAAAACGCGTCTCCGATTGCGGCATTCGCTGCATCCTCAAACATGGCCCCTCGATTTCTGTCCGACGTTGTTGCATAAGTGTCGCGTTCTAGCCTGCCACGATCTGGACGGTGGCACAATCGGCAGAGATGAACACCACAGACACCCGTTCTGCTCTTGCTCGCTCTCGGAGCTTCAGCAGCAATAAGTTGGGACGCCGTGGCGAGAGCGACCCTTGCGCCCGCTCGTCCTTCTCGCCGGCATTTCTACGCCGGCCGCCGGGATTGCGACATCCGACGGCACGACGCACAGGCACCTGCGACGTAATTTGTTGCCACTTCGGGACCTTTTTCGATGCATGGGCGGAGTAAGGTTCTTTTTGGGGTGGGGAGAGGCACCAGTTGTTGGAGGTCCTCTCTCCGATCGCGGCTGGTGACTTTGATGGCGAGGCAGTGGCAGCGACGACGAGTTGATGGGATAACTTTACATTTATTTACGAAGGGCCAGTGGACGGCACACGTCCGCAACCGAACTTCGGGACTTCTCCCACCCAACTCTCGTCCCCCTCCTCGAGGGTCTTTTCCCGAGGGGACACATTCCTTTCGCGCGACAGCGCCACGTGCGCTTGCGGAGTCGCGGAGACGTCATTTGCCCTTTCCCACGCACCAGCGGCCCCCCTCTCCTCGAAGTGGAGGATTTCCCGGCAACGCCGGAAATCCTCCCCTTTGAATATAAATCGAATATACACTCTGATCCTTACAGGCAGGATGGGACGATAAACACACCAGTCAATAAACGCGTTCAAGGCTCCGTGTTCTCTATGTCAAGGAAAGGCTTCTGCTGCCTTGAGAGATGATGGAGGGACCTCCAGTTACCGTACTTGCACGAATATAACGCGAGTGTTTTTTCTGAATTACGGGCTTCAAAACGCACCTCACATTATATTCGGAATCGTGTTCAGCCACGAGGCGCGCGAGTCTGGAGAAAGCCCGAGGAGAAGGCTGTCCCTCCTGCTGAATGCAGGAGATCCGGTGGGAAAAGAAGTAGGGGTGTGGAAGGGAATTTATTTGCTATTGGGCCACGTGAAGGGGTGAATAAAAGACATAAAAAAGCATTTTTATCGCTTTTGTGTTTGTACAACGCACGAACGCTGCAGCAGAGGCACTTTTGTGTTTGTACAACGCATGCGCACTGCAACAGAAGCACGCCGCAGTAGAAACTCAGCGCGCGCCATGCGGGAATGCGGGCACTGGCCAATTTGAGCCAAGCCAGGCCAAGTCAAGTCAAGTCAAAGCACAAGCCAAGCCAAGACCACCGACCACGTTTACGTAATCATGCAACACGAGGTGTTTGTTCATGCAGAGGGATCAGAACAAGATGTGTGATCGTGTATCGGGTTCAGCAGTCTTTTTTCTGCCTGTGCATTTTTTAATTTCTGCTCCAGAGTGGTCTAGTGCTTGTGTGTTGGTGCTTCTGCTTCGTGCCTTGCTTGGATTGTGGGCTGCCGCGGAGCTCACGCCGCCGAAGAAAATGGAACTACCTGACAAGTGGTGTCGTGCTGCTGCTTATCTGCGTAGTCGCCAAGTGGATTGTAAACGGAAGGACCTGAGCAAGTCAGGATGAGTGCAGTCAAGACATAAACTGATATTTCTTCTATTTCCATTGACGTTTCACTTCTGCTATGCTTGCAAGTGAGAGAAATTGAGGCGGCCTCGGCTCGCGTTATAATAGTAATACTATTTTTTTTTTCTTTTTGAGAGCATCAAAATCTGCTCTTGCGTTATATTCGTGCAAATACAGTATTGTAAACATAATTGCTGTCGGGTTGTACGCCTACGTTTCAAATTTTGGGGTAATTTACACTTTAGAATTTTGTTGTGCACGTGCGCAACGTGTTGGGAAGTACAGTCGAATCTTGTTAATTCGAACACGCTAAATTCAAACTTTCGGTTTATTCGAAGTGACGGTGTGGTCCAGTTTACACTATATGTATTTCAATGTGCGCCGTTCGCGCCGGTTAATTTGAACATCCCATGCCGCCGACCATGCTCTCAGGAGTGGGTTAACTCACGCGGCAGCACCTCCGACCCGGCCGTGAGGCCGTGCTACGCCGTTTGCCAGCTGCTAGTCCCGACTTCAATTCCAAGTAATCATGACAACCGATGACGTAGTGACCTCGAATGCTGCGATGAGCGGTGCGATGCTGGCAGAGGCTGTTGTCGTTTTCTTTCTTCCATGGTGATGGTGCTGCGCGCTGCTCTTCGGCGTGTTTTCGGCGGAAGTGCGATAGTTACGTTTCTTTCCTTGAACTTGCGCGTTGCTGCAGTTCGGCATGTTTTCAATGGCTGCGGACAGTTACGTTTCTTGCCTTGCACTTGCGCGCTGCTGCGCTTTGCCATGTTTTTGGTTTCGAGCGCGACAGTTACATTTATTGCCTTGCACCCGCGTGTTGCTGCGGTTCGGCGTGTTTTCGGTGGGCGCGGACAGTTACGTTTCTTGGCTTGCACTCTCGCGTTGCTGCGCTTCGGCATGTTTTCAGTGGGCATGCGATCGACGTTATCTGGATTCCAGGCATCATGGATAACTGACGCCAAGATCATTCAGGCTACGTGCCTTCAACAGGCCACACCTGAAGACCCTTCAACCCTTAGTGGCGAAGATTCTGATGCCAGCGAGGAAATGCCCCCACCTAGTGCAACTGACGTAGCGTCGGCGCTGTACACAACCGCGCGCTACTTCTCGTGCCAAGAGAATGCTGATGCCGCGTTTGAGCTAGTCTCTAAGCTCCGAGCGATGCTGTTGATTCACGACTGAGGAACCGCGCACAGGCATGCATCACGGATTACTTCCGTTGGTGATCGGTGCAAATAAATGTCCCGGAACTCGTCACTGATGTGTTAGCTCAGTGCACATGCGCCACCCAATGCAGTGCTGCTCGTAAGTACTCCATTTAATGAGCTTTCTTTAATTCAAGCTCCGTTTAATTCGAACATATTTTGAGTCCCCTCGAGTTCGAATTATTGAGATGCGATTGTAGAATGTGAAAAAAAGGAGTGTCTAGTTATTGCAAGTTTCTGCTTGTATTCTGTTTAACACTTTTAGTACACATGCCGAATAAACGTCGGATAATCTTGGTGGGCTCGGGGACGTGAAAGAAATTGATTGAAGGACTTTGGTACAAAAAATTGAGAGAGTCTGGGAAGTCTCACGGAACGTGTAATTTTGTTTCTAACCTCTTTTAGACGTATGTTTCGAAAAACTGGCCACAACTTTTAGAGTATCGGTCGTGCTATTGGTCGGTCAGGAATTGCGCAAGTACCAAACAAAAGCCTTTATTATGAGTAAATATTTATTGAAAGTCGCAGGCCACTAAATATGAGTCAATATTTATTGCAAGTCGCAGGTCACTATTCACATCTCTGACATGGTTCTTGGCATTGTTGCCGAACCATATTTGTCTGGTAATTCAACACAAGCAGTGTAGAAAAACAGAAGTTGGGGGATTTTAAAATGCGGTTTCGATAGATGCTCCTGTGCGTGAAAACACATAAATCGCCTCAAATGAAAGGTGCACTTATTATAAAAAAAAGGGGACCTTTATGCTCACAGTGATGAATCACTATGCAGCTGAGCCACACATCAACTATGCCTCAACTGGCAAGCATTTTATGTACAGGGCGGGAGCCATATTTGCACTGATGCAGGTCGATTTTGATTGCACACCGACCCCCTACTAGTCTTGCCGAAAATATTACAAAACTATTAAAATATAAATCGGCCCTAATTTTGAAGTAACTTCAAGAAAGAAAATTTGTACGAGCCTTTATTTCGCAGCGTCCTCACCTTAACTTCCGGCATAATCAAGCCCGTCTGCCGACGCAATGTGAGATACTGTATTCACTCGCATAAAGAATGCACCCCCTACAACAGTCATTAGTATTTGGATTTTGTTTTTCCCCCGCTCGCAATGAACGCACCTTCAGTCTTTAGCTCTGTGAGCCTCAAACTGCATTTGACCCGGCCAGCTGCCAAGCGGGCAGTCGAAGCCAAGCCAAGCCTCGAGTACACTGTATACGGGCGTGTTACAACTGCTAGCCGCAAGTTGCTGGATTGATCAGCTGTGGAATCAAGCGGCGTGCACAGCTAGCAAAGCTGGGGTCGAGCGATTGCCTAGCCCCCGGAGATGTTTTGTCCATCAATAAACCTGCCATCATCTGTGGTCCACTTTTGGGCAGTGAAATTTCGAAGGTGGTTAGACCTAGGAACAGTTTGGGCGCTTTTTCTTGGGCAAAAAGAGTGCCAAAGGCGCTTTAAAAAAATTTAGCAATTTGTAGAGCATGGTTACCATAACACACTCACAAGCAGCCATGGGTGTACCTCCGTCGGTAGAGACATGCCACAGTACCCTGCCCTGTCAGATGGGCACCTAAAGTGACATTGACGCAATGCACAAACTTTTATCCCGCATAATAAACGCACCCCTCAAATATGCGTCAATTTTTCGGGAATAAAAGTGCATTCATTATGCGAGCAAATACGGTAGTCACGGGACTTCTTCCCACTGTGACTATTGCATTGCGTTGCTTGCATTAACACTTGAGTGTCGAGCTTCACCACTTTACACAGATGGACAAGGGTCAGGTTTCACCGCTTTGCACGCCGGGCTTGGAGTGGCGGCTGACGTGAGGGAGCACCTCAAATATATTAATAAGCTGGGAATTCGTGCTCACTGTTATGGGTCGACCTTTTTTGATTGCAGTCTTTGCTCAACCCTCAATTGGAAAGAGCAGTGCTGGAGTAAAAAAAGAAAGCTCTGTCAACCTGTCTTCCAATAAATACAGTATTGAGAATATCCAATGGTCGACAGTCCCCTGTAAATACTCTGGCAAACTCTTGGCTTCCTGCAAGTTCAGCATGAGAACCCTTAGTGCCAGCTTCCCTGAAATGTAAATGTGAGCTACTGGTGCTGAGTGTCATCATGAAGTGGGTTCCGGTTTACCGGCTGCTGTGTGCCTCCAACTGAGCCGGTTATTTTAAGTTATTATACATGCCCGGTTGCTATGACGGTGAACTGCTACCTTTTTCTTTGCACTGGAAAGAAAATTGGACATGGAATTGTTAGATGGGGAATGAAAAGTCAATGTCATCAGACCGGAAGAGATCTGGCAGACGTTGCTCTACCTCGAGTGCCTTCGTGGTACTCCCGGCCGGAGTAAAACATCACGTGTTTAGACATACAGCAACGCTCTTCTCCTTGAAATCAGCGCACTCTTACCTATCACAAAAAAAAAGAGCTAAAAAAAAAAAAAAGTGACAGAAAATTGGACAAGAAAAACAAAAAGCAGACTCCTTTGTCACAACGGGTTGAGGTTGTTCCGAGTGGTTGGTTCTCTTTTGCTGCGAGCTGGTGCCAGGGCTCTGCTGGGTGCTGCCACGTTCCAATCGTTCCGTTTTCCGCACCCTCCGTCTACTGCGTCTCGCGCTCCAACAGGCTGATAGAATCACATTTACTCTACAACCGCACAAGATGGCACCCACAAGTAAGACATCCACGAGGCGCACACGCACTTACCTTGCACGACAGAGGATCGCATCACGCCATCCAATATCCGCACATGTACAGAGTTTCTCTACACTAAAAACATCACATCCTGCATTATCACTAAATACAGTAAACAACTTAATTTTTGCAAGAACCTAATTTTCGCGAATTTCACGAATCGCCTACAATTTGTAAGAAATAGGTCCCGCAAACAATTCCGGTAGAATTCGAACACATTGGAATCTAGATTGCGATCCTACCAAGTCGCGAAAATTAGAACCCGCGAATTATTCCAAAACTTCAGCTTTGATCTAAATCGAGAAATATTGAGCCCGCAAAAAATAAGTTGTTTACAGTACCTTGTTAAACAATGCTGGAAACTCCCACAGCGTCCTGCAAACAAAAACTAATTGCAGCGCCCCTGGCGAGCCTGGAGTCTCCGCTAGCAGGCAAACTCGTTGGAATGCATCAGTTTTGCTTATCTTTGCACTAAGGAACCAATAAGAAAGCATTGCAATTTTGTTTTTTGCTTCAAGCGTTAAAAATTGTTTACCATTTCATGAGTGAAGGATGTGTTCTTTCCATGAAAAATGTTTTTGGCTTTTAAGCTGCAGTCTTGTCCTTTCATTGCTCATTCTTTCCGGTTTTTAGACTCTAACCAGTCATACATAATAATCTGAGCTGTGTTGAGCCTACTTAATAAATAAACGTCTTTCTGTGCACGCTATAATTTGATTTCTGTTGCATTTCTGATCAGTGGATACTGCTCTGCAAACACACTGAACATAATTGTTTCAGCTCTTACGATAGGAGAATTGGGCTCGCAAACACCTAGAATGTTGCAGAGCCTATAACTTTTCTATTGAGTCATTTGCTTGCAAAGACCATTGAGTCATCTGCTTGCGTTACTGGTGCCACTGTTGCTGTTTGCCGCTGCCCCCATAGATTTTCAAAGGAGCTCCTAGTATTGGTAGAGCTATGTCGTATTTGTTATCATTGCCTTTGCCACACTAGTATGGCAAAGGGGTGACTTTTTTTTTGCGCATTTGGCTCGAAAAGGGCGCCTGCATAGAATGTCTGCAGCAAAACCCTCGGCAATTCAGTGTTCTGTAGTATTAGAAATCTTGGGTAATGTACAGATTTTCCAAGGTTTCATAGTTTTCAACGGAAGCATGACTGGATAGTAAGAATGCTTTGCACCAACCTATCTGCTTCGTTTAAACTCTTCTTGGGCTGTTCTGGTTCACTCTTCAGCTGCTAGGTCGCCAAAGCATGTCATTTTTCCCCAGTACAATGACAAAACTGTACGTGGTGCACTAATATCTTTCATGTTTGTTCATTGATCCAAGTTCTTAATAAAACTTTTTGTTCTTTTGTTTTGGTCACAGCTAACATTGTTCACAATTTCAACATCGCGCTTTTCGTTGTGCCCCCGGTTCTGCACCCGTTGGTTTAGCAGTTTTTGCTCTATGTCTCGCTGGCCTTGCTATTGGGCTGCTGTGGATAATAGTGTCAGTGCCTTTCTGTTGGTGATGTCATGGTATAATCTGTGACTGTTGAACTAACCAGCTGCAATTCTGAAATGCTCCACTTGGTTTAGCTTCTAGGAAAATACAACAATGGGTTAGGCTTAGCATGGAACACTGCAAGTCCTCACTGATGATTACTCTTACCAGTGTGGGATACTGATCGTGGGGTTGCATTGTGCTATGATATACAGTGAGTAGAGGGTTACCTCGGCCTATCTGGGCTCCAACGGGAAAGATGGGAAACTATTTCGAAGTATAAGAGGTGAAACAACAGATTCGTACGGCTTTTGAAATGTTCCCAAATTACCAAATGATACTACCGCTGGCCGAGGTGACGGCTTCGACCGCCTTCCTTCTACCTCCATTGCTGCCGAGTACCGATGTGGAAGCTCTTAAGGAATTTGAGGATGCAGTTTCTCATCCATGCTCTGTCTTTCTCCACAGCGGAACCCCTTCCCTTGAAGGACATCTGCCGGAGGGTGATTCGGCAGCGCGTGGGCAAGTCCCGGCTGGGGCGTGTGCCCGAACTGAACCTGCCCACCGCTCTCAAGGCGTACCTCCTGTACCAAGACCGGGCCAGTTAACGCCGCCAGGCATGCCCCTGTGCGGGCGCTGGCCCCAGCGCATTCCAACCCTGTCCGGGGGAAGCCCCGCTTTGCCTATTTATGGAACCCCAAACCACCGCCCCCTCTGCTCGTCGAGCGAATGCACCGAGTCGACGTGCCGCTACGATCGACGGCGACTTACAGTGATTCGTGGTGGTGCGCGGACTCGTTGGAGCACCGGACGCTGTGCGAGGGCAACGCAAGCCTCGCCACGGCGAGGACGGTGGTGCTTTTCGTCATTTGCGATGGTGAACAATTTGGAACACTCGTGGCATGCGGCAGTGTTGCGACGCGTCCATGTCGGTTTGGTCACTTTCCTAGGAAGAGTACAGGGCCGTTCAGCCCTGTCGAAAGTGGAGACCGAGCGGTGGCGTAACACCGCTGTGCGCTCCGTTTCCACACATAGTCCCGCATCTGCAGGGACCAGGGAGTTTATGTTCCCCTTCCTCTTGCTTGCACTTGCTTGACAGCTGTCTCGACCAACGGCGGCGCGTGCTGTGACAGCCTGGAGAGGTTGAAACCCTTTGCGTATAGGGCGATGCCCTCGTCGGTGTTCCCACCTGCTCGAGGGCTCGCCACCGCGCTCATAGTCCGTCTTAGTCCAGCGACTTAGCCAGGAGGGTCAGGGAGAAACTGCAATCGCGTGGGTGTCGAAGGTGGCTGGTACGCAGCTCCGCATTTGTCGAGAGTCGCTTTTGCCCGTGCCACAACATTGGGGGAGACTCCCTGCCAGTGCGTTTTTTAAACGTTGGTGCCGTGCAAGCACTTTTCACGTGTCGTTGTGGCTGCAACAACCAAAAAAAGAGGCACAACATGTGTGCGAGAGGATTCCAGTTGCCCGCTTGCTGTGTCTGATCCTTTCCTTTGTTCGGGGCCATACGAGGACCTTGATTTGTTTCTTAACCACTGATTGCCAACTTTATGGTCTTGATCTAATTGGGCACTCAAAAGGTTGGCTATTCTTTTAGGGGTATACTTTGCTTTTTCTAAATGAAGTTTATGAAACCATTAAACAGTTATCTGAAGAGATGATTTTTGTTCCTTATCAGAAAAGAATATAGGAAAAAGCATTTATGTATATTATACGTGTGATTGAAGGCTCCATAATGGAAGACACCGGGCATTGAAAATGCTCGACTTGGGCATCAGTGTGCTCTGTACAGGTAGTCTCAGATCCATATATGTTTTTCCAAATGCTGGTGCGAATTAAAGATGTCACGATTTGCGGTCGACTTTGTAAACTCCACGAACTTGCGCAGCGAGCGATGTGGCCATTTGCTGCAAGTGCCGCTTGGAGCAAGTGTGCTCGCAAGGATGCCTCGGGCTGCTGTCAAACCGAACTGGAATGTGTGTGTGTATGAATGTATGTGTGTTGGTCTGGTGAAGTGTAGAGGCCGGAAATTTCTGTGTATTAGTGAATAAAAATGCCGGAGTTTGTATTTGTCTTTGCATAGGCACTTTGTTGTTGCAAAACATTTGGGGAGAAAGCACATTCTGGGCTTGGAGGACAGTCCTGCTAAAAGTTCAACATTCTGTAAACAACCAAAGTTATGTTTGGCATTAATACCAGCAATCAAATGTTATTAAAATAAGGGATTCTGTAGTAGTTACTGGAGCAGACGAAGCCCGGATGCACCTTTTCAAATAGGAGACTGCCCCTACGGCATTAGGTTGAAAGCTGTCTTGGAAGGAACTGGCTCTCAAGTGACCTACTCGTACCTTGATAGTTCTAGCCTGTCCGGCAGCAATTCATTGTCAGCAAATATTTTAATTGTAATTTTATCTGCTATTGGCTTTAACTTTGTTTACTCCCTTTATAAAGTTTGCGAAGAGCAGAGCAGGAACTGCGATACACCTGTTTTATGCCCCCTGTCTACGAGATAAGGAAGACGAGATAAAACTGAAATTCGCCATTTGCCTGAGCATGCACTGTTTCCCACTTCACATCGATATTGAAGTTCTGACCGCTGATCTGTTGGGCATCTCAAACTCGTTTCAGTATGGGGGCCAGATAGCCCACCAGAAAGGTTGTGAGCCAACGTAGGTGGCAAGAAAAAATAAATCGAGGAGGATGTCTAGGACAACCTCAAGGACGACTTTTAGGATGACCTCGAGGATGACGCCTAGAGGACGATGCCTAGGACGACCTGGAGGACGATGCCTAGAGAGAACAAGGGATCAGGGCCTCGCTCTGTAGTAATGCCAAGGAAGGCCGACTCACGCTAATTGCCCCCTCTTGTTATTTTTATTTATTCGTACTTGCCACGACCAATGGAGAGTAACGTCCGCAGACACATTTTTTTCAAGATCCTGGCTCATAACAGCTTCGCTGTAAAATAACTGGTAACAAAGTGCCGCCGTAGTGCAACCCTTGCCAAGAGCTCGTGCTGGGAGACACTCTTCCACTTGCTCCAGAACAAAAAAAGAAACAAGCGTTGGACGGGAAATGGTCAGATGTCATCACCGCAAGCAAAGCGCACATGACCTTTTTGCTCTGCGCCGCAGGGGCACTGCCATCTTGGAATCGTGATGCTGCTGCCATTAGGTGGCTTCAACTCTACTCAAACTTGTCGCTCCGTTCTCCCCGTCGCGTTTCTTGCCTTACTCCGTAAGTATCGTCTGATGCTTATATTTAGCATGTAATTGCATTGCATCATGGGCACAACTTCAGTGTTTGGACTATTTTTACCGTCGGCGTGCCGGCTACATGTGATGGCACGAGGGTTCAAAGGTCAATAACTTATGAGAACTCAACTGGATTTAGGATCTCAAGGAAGGTGGTAAAAGGAATGTATCTCTGAAAACTGAACTGCCCAAAACAAGTGGTCTGCTCTTGAAGTACACTGCCATAATGAAACCGAAGGTATCCTGCTCGCTGGTGTGAAAAAACATGGTCCCATCTACTACGTTGATGTTCCCTATCACGGTGCTGTGCCTGCATAAGGGTTCGAACTGTTGACGCACTGCTACACTGTTTTTTTATCAATATTGTTAGCCTGGAGGGCCGATACAGGGTGCAGTTCCAAAAAAAAAAAAAATCACTTGTGATCCATGTTTTGGCCGTTACACTCACGCACACACAAACTCATGAGTTCAGAGAGTTAAAACATCTTGAAACGAGTTGCACAACTTTAGTGCATGCAGTATCGTTACAAGTTATACAGATTGGATTTAGTGCACTATACAAATTTCGGAACAGCCTAGTACACACAAAAAACGTTCAGCCTTTCCACTCTCGTGAAGAAGGAAGACCAGCGGAGCTGTGCTCGATACACTGCTGCAACGCGCACGCGCCCGTTTCCTGCTGCTTCTCGTCCGACACGCCACCGATCCTGGATACGTCTCCGGCGACCCAGAGTCGGTCGCACACGGCACACGTGACGCCAAACGGGTAACCCACGAGCTCCCTCCGGAACATCGCCGTCGTGGCCCGGGACTGTTCAACCGGCGTGGAGTGCTGTCGCCGCCGGCCTCGCGCTTGCGCTTCATCCGTGGCACGATCGCCGTCCGTGGCGTTGGCCCGCTGGCGCCCTTTACATTGCTGGTTTTGTTCTCGGCGGCGACTTTCCAGGCGAGCGATGTGCTCTTTGGCAAGGGAATCCGAAGCGCTCGACGCAGTGGAAGTCGAGGCGACAGCGGCTTTGCAGCGGTTACGGACCCATTCGCGCTGTTGCGTACGTCGCCGCTCCTTCCGCTGCCAGTTTTCTTTCCCCGAAAAGGCACGCGGCTGACCCATCCTGACTCCAAACCGAAACTGAAAAGAGCGTAGGAAACAGCGCGCAAAGCAGACGAGGACGAAGAAACACATGTGACGAGCGCTGCGCTCGTTACGTGTGCTTTTTGTTTGTCGTCTGTTTTTCGCGCTGTTTCCTACGATGAATTCCCACCAACTCGCACCCAGAACCGCGCGGTACTAGATCGAATTCGCGCGGATTTGAACTGTCCACAAGTTCAGAACCGCTCCGATCTGACATTGTCGTACGGGTTCGACAACTCGGATACCGCTTGCCTGCCAGAACTTCTCGATGCACTCAACACTGGATACTGTGCTTGTGCGTGCTGTGTGTGTGTTCCGTGCACCGTGTTAGATACAGGCCGGAATGAAAAATGCTGGTTCCAGCTGGACCCGAAATGGGGGCACCAGTTTGTATCCAGCCTGGAAATGTGCAGTTCCAGACGGGATACAAACTTGCGCCCCAATTTTGGATCCAGGCGGAACCGGCTGGTTCCTGTGGCAATGCCCCGATTTCAGACCCTGGTGGTGCGCCGCCGGAGTTCCCGCTGCGCTCACCACTGGACTCTACAAAAGCATTTAGCGCAATGTCCTTAGCCGTTACAACCGAGAGATCGTCGCGATTTCAGACCCAGGCGGACTGGGTATGAAATCGCGACGATCTCTCGCTTGTAATGGCTAAGGGCAGCACGCGAAATACTTTTGTAGTCCAGTGGTGAGTGCAGTGGTAATCCCGGTGGCGCACACGGTCGTCCGTGCGTCGTCGCCAAACACGGTGCACTGAACACACACACAGCACGCACAAGCACAGTATTCAGTGTTAAGTGCATTGGAAAGTTCTGGCAGGCAAGCGGTATCCGAGTTGTCGAACCCGTACTACAATGGGCGCGTTAAGTCGGCGCTCCTTTACTCCTACTCCGACGCTCCGAGTTTCAAACTCCGAGCGCAGCAACTAAACGGCGCATATCGTACAGGAGCGCGACACACCGAGGCTGCGTTCCAAACCTACTCAAATGGATCCGAGTTACCCTGGCGGCGTTTTATGTCACGTGACAACAAAAATAGAGAAACGCTGGACGCGGGTAGGTCTTCGATAACCACTTTTACCTTAGAGCTAGATCGAGTAAGTTTGGAACACGGCCAGAAACTATCGACCCTATCGACGGGCCACGGCCCACACGAGCTCCTTCCAACCGTGGATGCGGGTGGCAGAAGCCGAAAATATTTCGAAGATAAATAATTAGGCCCGGGTGGAGCGGCAGAGTCTAAAGCAAAAGAGACGGCAACGTTATGAAGTTTCTACGAACGTTTTAATATTCCTGAAAGGTTTGAAGACTCGCTTCGTGCACATATGTGGAAGGTTACCTTGGTTGATCTATTTATCGACCATGCATGCTGTTCCGATTTAAATTAAAGACAATATTCTTGAACCCGCTCGGGGCGACACAGGAAAACCCTCAAATTTGTCAAAGATTTTCTGGTTCCGTCGGTTCCGTCTCGCAGCGAGACGGAAGCTACGCCGATACCGGCACACCGTCGTTCGTTAGCACATCGTTTTTAGGCGGTATGCATGAACAAGCCTTTCCCGCAACGCTAACTGATGTTTCGGCTTTCCAATCTAAGTATCTTCATTCGCTGCGGCCGGGCTAAGCATTCTAAGCAGGGCAGCCGTCTGTCTTTTCATCACTTTTCTGTCGCCGAGCTATCGGCACGCTCGTTCGATAGATCAATTCGTTTTCAGGCAAGACGCACGAACAAACCTTTTCATCGACGCTCGCTGATGTTTCGGCGTTCAAATCGAAGTATCTTTATTCGCTGCGCTAAGTATTATAAAAGGGACAGAGCGGTCCGAATATCTTCTCATCTCGACAACTTTTCTGTCGCAGTGCTATCGGCACGGTAGCGTTTGATAGATTAATTTCTTTTTCAGGCGAGATGAACGAACAAACCTTTTGCGGAACGCTAATTGCTGTCTCGGCTTTCAAATCAAATCGTTTTTACCTGCTGGATTAAGCACTAATCAACTGAAAAGGGGTAGCGGTCCGCCTACGCCTTTTCGTCTCGCCGGTCGCAAGAGCAGCGCAGCCATCTTGTTTGTTTACGTGACGTCACGGAGCGCGAAGAAGTCACTCGCGCTCCGAAAAATTCTCGGTGCACGAAGAGCGCGCTCGAGTGTCAGTCTCCGGTGGCACTCCTGTCCGTTTAGTGAAAGGAGCGCCAAACTCTCGCGCTCCGGAGCGCGGACTTAACGCGCCCAATGTCAGATAGGAGCGGTTCCAGTTCGGAGCCGCGCGGTTCTAAACTTGTGGACAGTTCAGATCCGCACAAATCCGATCTGGTACCGCGCGGTTCTGGGTGTAACCAGTCGAATCCAGTGAGACGCAACGCACTGGCACCGCACGGTGATGAATGGATCCAATCCGTTCCCCTTGGTTCCAGTAGGGTCTGCTCCCAGCCTGCGGGCGCGCACATGAGTGACTGGAGGAGGGCGGAGGGGGGGGGGGGGGTCGGCGGGGAACTTTTGCGGGACTCTCGCAGGTCACGTGTTAGGGACAGGCGCATCCGCTACGCAGGCGCTGCGAGCGGGCGTTCTCCGCGCGCCTCGCTTTGTCTGTTGCAGTCGGCGGCAGCGCACCGAGTTTAGGTTCTTCCCTCTCGTCGTACTGTCGGTCGGCGCTCGCCCGGCGGCAGGGGCGGATCCAAG